TTTATCTTGACTTGACTAATTAATCAAAACTTATAATAATCCAACTTCTAAACTATTCAAAATATTAGCAACTTGTACAATTGAAGGCCTATTTTTTCTTGAATTACCAACACAAGCTAATGCAACTTTAGCTAATCTAACAAGTGGCCTAATATCATTAGGCAACATAAGTCTATTGTCCAAAAATTCACCAAATTTCATTTCTTTAATCAATGGCAATGCCCATTTCACAAGTAAACTTTCTTGATCACATTTCCTTCCACTCAACAACTCCAACAAAACAACACCTAATCCATACACATCACTTTCTTTAGAAAAACCCTTTTTTTCATTACCAATCCAATATTCATCATCAACATATCCCATTAACCCTAATTGTCTTTTATCATAACATGTTAAAAAAGTATACAAACCATAGTCACAAACCCTAGCACAAAAATTAACATCTATTAATATATTCGAGGGTTTAATGCAACCATGCACTATATGTGGTACCATAACTTCATGTAAATATTCTATTCCTCTAGCTATACCAGCAGCAACTCTTAACCTACAATTCCAATCTAATAAGGACGTCCCACCACCACCACCACCACCATCATCATGATCACGATTTTGATGTAAGTAGAAATCAAGACTCAACATACCTCCAAATTCCATTACCACGATTCGTTCCCCAGGGCCCTCAGAAAACCCTAAAATTGGGACAATGTTAGGGTGATAAGCTAAAGATAGCCATTTCATCATAGATGTGAAACCAAAGCCAGCATTACTCAATACAAGCCTAGGATGGATCCTTTTTATAGCTACTTGTTGATCTCCATTAGGTAATATACCTACATATACACTCCCTATACGTCCTTGACCGATGATTCTTCGATAATTGAATCCATCCGTTGCTCCATGAATGTCCATTAATGAATAAGAACATGCAATTTGCTTTGTTGGAAGAGTTTCTTCAGCTTTGATTGGTTTTTTCTTGCAACAAATGAAGAGTAGGATAACAAGACATATGATGATAATTGCAAGTATAGACAAAACAACATTATAAATAATTATAATCTCTCCACCACTCATCTATATAAAAAAAATCTCTATATATTTGGTGTTGTTGTGATTTATGTTGAGAGAATTTAGAAGAAGAAAATTTGGCTAGTTTATAGAGAATGAAGTGAGAATATATATATATATATATATAAATGGAAGTAGAAAGAGAAAAAAAAGTGGAGTATTTTATTGGACTTTTGGTGTGTACTCTTTGAAAAGAGGAAAGTTGATTTGGTACTCCCTCCGATCCATTTTATGTGGTATTATTTGACTTGGCACGAAGAATTTTTAAATTCAGAATCTAAAATAATTATTAGATATTATTTGTGTGGCTGTAAGTTATTTTACAAAAGATAAGTTTAAGATAAAATTATTTTAATTATAATAAAATAATATTTTTTTTTAATAAATTAAAAAGAAAAGTGTGTCACATGAATTAAATAGGAGACAAAAAATCATAATTGGAAAAGAAAGGTTGAAAAAAATATAAAACATTAATTTGGCTACTTTTAGTTCAGGGTTGGCTGCTAACTGTCATTTGACAAAAGTATAGGGGGTTTGGTAAAATTTCAAATTATGAAAACAAATCTACTCTTGTAATATAGAAATTTTTTTAATTATTGGTTTAATATTTGAAATTGACATGCTTGATAAATTTAAGTTTAAGTAGATAGATCTGTTGAAAGAGGAAGCGTTATACTAATAATTTTTCTATTTTAAGATTTAAATTCAAAATTTCTAACTGAGAAAAGAAAAATATATTTTATTTTATAATTGTTTGATAATATCATTATGAACTTATATTATCACTGTTTTATTCTCATTCAATGCCTAAAGAGGTTCAAATATTAATATTTGAAAAGACAAATATTTAGTTATCACCCATTCTAATTAAGTAGGGTATATAATTAATATCATTCTTTTTACAGCAAAAATTATTTTGGAAAAATAAATTTCCCAACTTTAAAGTTTCAATGTGTTCAATTTGGTCATGGTTTTGATGTTACCTTTTTCTTTTTCATTTGTTCTTTTTTCCTTTTCAAATTGAATTTGTATCGATATTTTAAATTACGGTGTTGGATTCTTTTCAATAATTTGATACTTGTATTAAGACCCTAATTAATTTGAATATCTAGAACGTAAGGCCTATTAAAGAAGAAAGTGTTCCCTATATTGTAAAAATAGCTAGAGTCTAGTTGCCACGCGATTTCAACATTATCTTGAAATAATCAATATCATCTCCAAACGGAAACTTCATGCATTGTAATACGTAGAATTTCATATGTGAAATCTAGGACTATGTAATAACGGCTATATTTCAATTTTATAGGTTGAAAAGTGTCTATTTGTCATTTTTTATGTGTTTTTTTTTTTGAATATCTAGACCTTAAATTCGAAAACTTTAATCAAAATTGAAAGAATACTGTCTATTCCACATCAATCGTAGATGGTAGCTAGAACATCATTTCCCGCTTTATTTATTTATTTATTTATTTGTTGTGACAAGTCCTTGTTTCCTAACATATTAGCTTTTGGGGCCAATTTTTTGGTTATAAGAATTTAGTTACAACAACCCTAGCTTCCATTCAACCAACCTCATCTAACCCAAAGTTTCATATATGAAAATTAGTCTATTTAATATATATAAAAACTTGTTGGATTATAATATACACTTTATTTTAAATTTTACGCGATACAAATCAATATTTATATCGAACATGAAAATAAATAATACTGTATATTCTAAACTGTCAAAATTTCATTATTCATTGTTTTTTTTTTAATGAATATACACTACACTACTCTTCTTTCTAAAGAATATCTTTTTGTCTGCTTCCTGGTGTTATGTCACTATTAGTATTTAGGCTTTTCCCACTATGAATTAATAATAAAATAAAAATTATGTTATAAAAATATGATTTTTTTTTCTCACTATTTTTCAACAAACTAGTTTAGTAGGATAACATTAGTAGATTTTCATTGAAATAAGGTAAAGTTTTCTTATTTTTTTCATATAAAAACACTATTATATATTATAATAGCGCGTAAAAACTTTTTAAAAAATAAACACAAATTAACTAACGACGTCAAAATCGAGTATCCATGCACTTTGCCCCATAAATCACCTAAAATTCTTTTTGTGAGAGCCCAGCCCACACATCTATGGGGCTTCAACTTAGGGGCAGCCCAATAGAGTTTTTTCAAGGGCAACTTTCACATATAGCAAATAAAAAATTCATATTTATATGCTATAGCAAACTTTGCATAATTGCGCTCCATAGCAAACATAAAATTGTATAATTTGCTATACATATACAATTGTATAATTCACTGGCCTAAATTGTATATAATTCGCTGGCCTAAATTGTATAATTCGCTGGCTATTTCGCTGCAATTGTATAATTTGTTTTGCATACAGTTGAATCGAATTAAAATGTATGTATATTGCATAATTATAAGTGTATAACAAGAAGATATATGTTTTTCTCGCTTTATACAAAAACAAAAACACAATATATACACTTCTGTTGTATAAAGCTAGAGAAAATTGTATTTCACTGCAATTGTATAATTCGCAATTGTATAATTCGTTGGCCTTTTTCTCTGAAATATTTGAAGTAAAATGTTTGTAAATTGTATAATTAAGTGAATAACACGAAGATATACATTTTTGCATATGTATATACAATTTTCTCTCGCTTTATACAAAACAAAAACAGAATTATACACTTCTGTGTATAAAGCGAGAGAGGCGAGCGAGATTTTTGGGAGAGAGACGCTGGCAAATTTTAGCTAATGTTTGCTATGGAGCACAATTAAATAAACCCTAGCTATTCCATTTAATTTAGGTTATTAGTTTGCTATTATATACAATTTTCCCTTTTTTTAACGACAAATTACAGAAAATACATATTTTTTGTTTTACTTATTTTCATTATTCCTTATTATTTTTAAAAAAAAGATTCAATTTTTTTTATTTCTTTAATGTATCCAATTTGCATACTAATATATTCGAGTCAGTATTTAATGTATCTGACATACCTATTATGTATCCGAGCTAGTTTTCAATGTATTCAAGCTACATATTAATGTATCTGAGCCCGTATTTAATATATCTGAGCTAGTTTTTAATGTATCCAAACTATATATTAATATATCTGAAACAATAAATAATGTATCCGATCTTCAATTATTATATCCAATTTTTTTAATTTTTAAGTAATTAATATAATTAAAACTTATTAATTAGAAATTAATTGTAATTTCTTATTAAAACTATGAGATTTATGTGATTTATCTTTTTTTTTAAATCCAAACCTCATCAAAGGAAAGGAATTAAGATGATTAGCTTTGCTAACGTTCAAAGAGAATCTAGTTATTAGGTTTGGAGTCAATTTTCACATAGGGATATCAAAATATAAAATAATACACCAAGAAAAAGTTTAGGGAGTCGATAAATATACATAAAAAAATATTTTTATCTAACTATACAATATAAATTCTAATGAAATGATGACAATTATATATGCGGCTAGTTTTTAGTCAGTTCGTAACTATCTACCTAAGAATTGTTTAATTAAAAAAGATGCAAATTTCATAAAAGTAAAAAAAAATTGCTAATACAACTAAATATTATGTATATTATCATATATATCCAAACTAATTTCATCATCCATACATTAAAGTAGTAAACTTTTACATAACTTTATTTATTATAACTATAAGCACCAAATATGGAATATATATATCATCATCCATAGTATCAAACAAAAAAATTTATACAACTTTTTGTTGTTGTGATGTATACACTTTGTTAAGTTATTTTTCTGTTACAAAACTAAGCTTTTATGACTTTGATATAATAAACAAAAAATTGAGTGACATGAAATCAATCCTTTCCTTCACTTATAAATAGAGGCGAAGCTAGAGTATAGAAAACAAATTCAGTAGAATTCAGTAACTTCAGTTTCAACCTTTCTGTCTGTATTATAATTTTTAAATTCTGACTCTGTCTCTGCTTATAAATGCTTCTTGATACACAACAAAAAATCCAACACAAACTTGAAATGGAGATTAAAGTGGTACAACAAGAAAAAAAATCACCCCTCTTAGAAGAAAACTTAGAATTACCACAAGTTGAAAAAAATATCATACAAAAAGCAATTAGCCAAACATTTCAAAGCACATCACACTTAGCCAATCTTCTACCTACTGGTTCTGTTCTTGCTTTTCAACTTTTGTCACCAATATTTACAAATCAAGGCAATTGTGACAAAATTTGTAAAATTTTAACTATAGCACTTGTTACACTATGTGGACTATCATGTTTTATATTGAGTTTTACTGATAGTTTTAAAGACAAGAAAGGAAAAATTAGCTATGGATTCGCGACGATACGAGGTTTATGGATAATTGATGGATCAATAAGAATTCCAAATCAAATTGCAAGGAGATATAAGTTGAAATTTATTGATTTCTTGCATGGTTTTATGTCAATGTTGGTTTTTGCTACTATAGCTTTGTTTGATCAAAATGTGGTGAAATGTTTTTATCCAAAGCCTTCTGATGAAATAGAGGAGTTGCTTGTTGCTTTGCCAATTGGAGTTGGAGTTATTTGTAGTATTTTTTTTGTTGTGTTTCCAACAAAACGACATGGGATTGGTTTTCCTCTCACCTCTAATTAACGTGGTCGGTCAGGATTCATATAATCGAACTCAACTTGATTGAGACTAAGATATTGTCGTTGTTGTACAAGTCGCGTATTGCTACTTGAATGAGGTGGTGGATGTGTTTTTTGTTGAAAACGTCGCGGAATTGGTTCTCCCCTTACCTTTTTGTATGATAAGTGGAATTCATATAGCAGATCCCGACTTGTTTGGGACTACATTGTTATTGTTGTTGTTGTACTAGTCGCGTATTTCTTTTTGGAATATGACGTGGTGCATGTTTATATAATCGACTTAAATTTGTTTGAGACTGAGACATAGTTATTGCTATACTATTTGCATATTGCTTCTTGAATGACTTGGTGCATGTGTTCATTTATTTCGTAATTGTTTTTTGGATGAGAAATTTATACTAGTAAGTTTTTTGTTGTGTTTACAAACAACGTTTTACATGGTTAGTGTGTAAGTAATTGAGAAAATTACGCAACAAAGCAAACTTATATTATTTAATTATTCATCATAGCTATAGTTTGTTATAATTATCATTCGCAACTAACATTATGCATTAATTACGTGGGCTGACTTCAGATTTGTTTAATTAGTCATGTTTGTATATATATAATTCGCCAAAATATACAAATTACATATGTATAATATACAATTCTTAAGCTATATACATATACAATTCACCTCTCTCCCACTCTCTACCCTCTCTCGCTCGCCTCTCTCCTCACTCTCTCGATCTTGCTCGCCTCTTTTCTCCCTCTTCCAATCTCTCTTGCCATATATACAAATACATATGTATAATATAGAATTATCTAACCAATATACATATACAATTCACCTTTCTCCCACTCTTTCCCCCCTGTCTCTCGCCTCTCTCCTCTCTCTCCCAGTCTCGCTCGCTTCTCTTCTACGTATAATATGTAGCTACAAATTGTAATTATCAAACTATTGCTATGGAAAGTAATTAATTATTTTTAAGTTTTTATATATGAAAGTTTTCCATTAAATTTAACTTAATTACTACCAGTTCAAAATGTATTTTTATAGTAATATTAGTGTATATTAAATTGTTACAGTAGATTACGTAAAAAAAATAAAAAGTTCAAAGTTTAGTAATTAATTGTGAAACACATTTGATTGGTTATATAAGGGTATTCCTCAAAACACTTCTTCTTTTTGTAGACAAGATTAGATGGGCCTCTTAATGGGCTCGTAGATAAAGCTCATTCAAATATGGGCCTCAATTAACATCCTTTCGAGAAAATTACTTGTATGATACTTTTAAAGAAATAATTTACTGATTTTAGCGACATTTTTTTTTATGTATTGTTGTGTATAGCTATACATAACATTACTAAGATAAATATGTTGTGTATTACAAGTGAATATACATGCAATGTGTAAATGTATTGTAAGTGTTTTAAAATACATTATGCTTGTTTGTTAAGAAATTGACGTATTATAAATGTATTAATTAAATTATGTTTTACAAGTGTATTATCCATGATTGATACTTGTAGTATATGTGTCTTATAATTGTTCTCTATAATACGTATTACACTATATTATAAATGTGTTATAAGTGTACAGTGAAAAAAGTTATTAATATAGTTAATAAATATTTTCTTAATATAGCATATCTATATAAGTTTTCCTGTTCTTCCTCAACGAAGTGGATGAAACTGAAGAATCTAAAACCTTCCCCGGCCTGTAAATTAGGTGGGATAGACAAATTTTGAATCGATAATAAAAATTTAGTCGTTGTTTTAAATATAAAAACTATTTTTTATCACGAAAATAACATTCGAATGCCCTTATTTAAAATATATATGGACCAACACCAACATAAAACGTTAAGATTCAATTGACAATTCATAGAATTTAAAATTTCAGAAACTATTCATGAAGTTCGAACCTTATAGTAAATTAACTATAACTCGATAGATTTGGTGATATGAAAAATCCTAGTAATTGATGAGATGGAAAATTCCTAAACAAAGAGATCCTATATGATTGGACTTTTTGCTTGTATGTTGATCATGATTCTTTTTTTTTCTTTTTTTGAATCTTCAAATACAATGAGTGCTCACTTATTCCCCATGATGTAACACATTTAGATATTCCCAAAAATATTGTTGTTGTACACATTCTTTTTCAATATATATCGCGTATAATAATTTATACGTACAGGGGCGAATAAAATAATTGAATATGTATATATAATTAAAAAGTTAGAATAAAAATCAAAGATAAATGTAATATAGTGACACTAATTGACATGTTGCAATTCAATCGATCGATTCAAGTACTTCATTTTCAAACTTAACCATGGACCTCTTGGAGGATAGCAAAATCCTCAATCAATTAGCCTAGAATAATTCTACGAGGAGATAAAATTTTCTCTCGAATATATTTCTATTCCTTCTTGGATACCTTTCTTACATTAAGTAATATAGCATTTTGCAATGTATCAGACATCCAAGTACTGTATCCGAGAGCAATGAAAAATTTAATTTTTTTATATTAGGGTTAACTTCCGACATAAAACGTAATTAGCAATATGAGATTTTTACACTTTATATTATTAAAATTATGCTTCCCTAGTTAGTTAAATTAAAAGTTTAAGTTTCCTAATGAGATTATTTTGAGTCCATTTACAAAAATGAAAAATCATCAAGTTAATTGATGATAATAATATATGTAAGTATTATATTAATATTATGCTCTATTTATAATATGTACTTATTTTGTTTAAATATAACGTTGCTTAGTAAAAAATTATGTGTACATCACTGATTATCAGACTACCAAATTTTATGTGGTGATTAACTATCATTTTCCACCAAAATTCAAATTGTCTTTTAAGTCCGTCGCTCAATTAATCTCAACCCTAAAAAATAATTTACACTTGTCATTTCATGACCATATATATATATATTTAAAGAAAAAGTACTTTTTTAATTAGTTCATAGTCTATTTTCTACTCATGGTGTTTTGTTGTTGATATATATATGTCAATTTTTGAAAAGTATTTACTTCCATTAATATTTTCCTTTATAAATTACAGTTGAAAATGAATATTATCACAAGAAAATGTTGATAAGGGTATTGAAAATAGAGGCATTGGACAAGACAGGCTCTTCTTCTATGGCCTCTCAAATCCATATCTTAGGATAAGATAAGACCCCACAAAAATATTATAATATTATCCATAATATAAATTTTATATTTATCTACTATTTTTTTTAAATTACATTTTCCAATAATAATAATTTTTTTTTATAAAAAAAACAATCATCTAGCTATCCTTTTTTTTATCTTTAGCAGACATTTGTCACCATGGATATGCTTCACCATGATATAATTGTCCTTTCTATAATAACAAACAAAAAAATACTATAAAGAGACTAAATATAGTTTATTTAAATATAAAAAGATTAATATAGTAAAAATAAAAATAACGAGTACATAAATAATTTAGTCAAATTAAATGTTGATTAATATCTTTCTAAAGAGCGTTGCTAAAATAGAATATAACATTTGAAATAAAAAGATTATTTTTTGAGGGCGATAAATAGATAGTTATATACGTTGATAACAAGCTAATTATTAGTGATCATTTTTAGAGTTAATACATATAATATATTAGTACTATATAGATAAAACTACCTTTAATTGTAGAAAGAATTTTTTAATTTTTTTTAAAAAAATATAAATATTTTTTAAAATTAAAAAGATATTTAGTTATTTTTCTCAAATTTGTGACATGCCCCTAATCCTTGTAATAATTAAGTCAACCTAACAAGAAAGAAAGTAAAAAAATAAAAAATCATACCTAAGGATATTGATCTATATATTATACTAATTCTTTTGTTATAATCTCCATATTACCAATCTGCATAATTATTATAATTATTACTAGCATTATACTTATTCTTGCATGACTTTGTCTCATAACCAAACAACCCCTTACTAATTGATGAATTAACTCATATTGTAGTAAATATGGTTAAATAATTCACCACCATATTTTGTGATGCCTAATGAATTTGTTACATATTCTCAAGTTACATGATTTGAGGATGTCTAATTAAGTGGTTAATTATAAAACTAACCTATGATAGTTTCATTAGTTGAATTTGGGATATATTGGCAATCCTCAAAATATTACAAATTGATACAAAATCAAAATGCATTAATGAAAATAGAGAACTTATTTCAAAACTTCAAGAGAATCGAAAACATTAATCTTTATCCACTAGTCTATACTCTAAGCATCTCAATTTATATAACGTAATTTTATTCAATTTATCTGTAAGAAAGTTATTTATTTTATTTGAATCAAAAATCTATTTAAATAACTCTTTATTTTACTCACAAAATAAAGATACGTTATATACGCATATTATTTTTCTCAAATTTCACTGATAAATTTACAATGATTATGCTAAATTGCTAATATTGTAAAATAATATTTTTTTCTTTCTATAGTTAAAAGAAAAGCAACATTAAATTTCTCTTATACTAAAAAAATGTCTTTAAATTAATTAGATCACACATTTTAAAAGAGAAAAGTAGTGAGAACTCTACTAAACTTGACAGCAAATTATACTAAAAATAATGTCTTTAAATTATTAATTTTATTTTCAAATTATTGAAAATCTTAAAAACATTCATCTATTTAACTTAACTAGACTTACACTCTCGATACACTCCCTATCTGTCACATAACATAACAACTAATATCAAACTCTTGCTAGAGAATGAGACTGGTAATAAAAAATCGAAAGAAGTGTTTTTAAGAACACTCCTAAATTTGAAGAGATTTTAGGAGCATAATTAAGTTTAGTTAATTAGATAAAAATGTATTTTTAAGACGGTTAATAATTCAGGATGAAATTAATAATTCAGGCCAAATTTTTAGAACTCTTTCAATAATTCAGGATGAAACTAATAATCACGTTAAATTTCTTAGAGCGCTTTCAATGCTTCTCTCTATTAAAAGTTTTATTTTATCGTCAACTTTTACCAATTACGATGCCACATAATTTGAAATAAATATCGTACGATTATAATATATTGCGGTAAAAAAAATAAAAAATTGTGAAATACTATTAGGATATTTTAGGAAGAAGACAAATAAATCGAAATAATACGAACCGTTCATTCGTCACCTGAAAAAACACCCCCTCCATTTTTAACAGCTTTTCTTCCCCTTACAAACTTCTCTGTTCAGTGTACTTCTCTGTTCACAAGTCACTATTTTCTCTCTCTACTCTCTCACTGCCAATGGAGTCTCGCGTGTTGACCGGTGGCGCCACCGCCATTCGCGGTGGTCTCCCACTTCTCCGGAAGCCGGCGGCAGTGATGAAGTTCACCACCGCCGCTACTTGCGGCAGTAACAGGGACTTCCCTGCTGGTGCTGTTACGGCAAAACCAGTCGGACCTCTGATTGCCGGCCCCAATTTGATTTGGGGACGACAATTACGTCCGGCTATCCTTCTCGAAGCTTCACCAAAGAGGGAATCCATTAAGCCGTGCTCCGCTGCAGCTTCTTCTTCCGCCGGAAGCAGCGATTCCTCCGGGTAAGGTCCATTTTCAGTTTCTTACTTATTGACCCGACCCGTATTACGTTTAATTTGAATTTTTGACCCGTTTTGTTTTTCTTCGCCCAGGGAGGCTAAAATCGGGTTTTTCAACAAAGCAACTCTGACTACCGGGTTTTTCTTCTTCATGTGGTAATGTCTGGAAAACTTATCATTTCGTAGCTCTACAATATTAATAATATTGAAATTAGTATCAGTTATTTTATTTGTTATTCATATATACGTAGGATTTAATATATGAATATTTTAGTTTTTATTCAACTACGATAGTATTTTAATTCTTTTATTAACGGTTAAACAGTTTTTGTGATGAAATGACTAATTTGACCTTGATTTTTTTGTAGGTATTTTCTGAATGTGATATTCAATATCCTCAACAAGAAGATCTACAATTACTTTCCTTATCCTTAGTACGTATTCCAATGTGATTTTTTTGTTTTGTTTTCTATGGTGTAATCAATATTTGATTGTAATATAAGGAACCTTTTTTAAAAATATTTTATCCTTTTGTTTTTTTAATAATAATTATTGTGATAATTTTTTTTGTTATATATGCAGTTTTGTTTCTGTTATACATTTGGCTGTTGGAGTGGTATATTGTTTGGTGAGCTGGGCTGTAGGTCTCCCAAAAAGAGCTGTAAGTGTTTTTTTTAACTTGTGTATATTTTTTTACTCAATCAAATGTCTTGAGAGTTACTTATATACGTTGACAGCGTAAAATAAACTTTAGAGTCACGTTAATGATAAATACGATAAATGATGCTCATAAAGAAATGATATTAGTAATGTGGCAAATAAGGTAAGTTACTTGCTAAATATGTTGTTAGTGTAAAAATGTTTACACTCTCATTGTATATAAGTTTAAGTCCATAGTGTGATACGAAAATTAGTTTCTCGAGTGACTTGTGATTGATTTTTTCAATATGTATTTCCTTCTGGAGAAAAAAAATACTGGAGATCTACAATTTGATTTGAGTTTGACTGTGAAGGACGATGATCGATGGCCATAGGGAAGTAATATTATAAATGTGGAACACATATTTTGATTCTTGGTTCATTATTGTCATGTATAAAACCACCACGTTAATAAAACTATAACAAGATTTAGGTATCGATTGTGTAACATTGTTTTATCTTTAATAAAACACATTTTCCTTGACTAATTCGTTTAGAGTTTTTACAAGACTGCAACATTCTGATTTGCTGTGAGTTTTCGATTTCTCTTTGTAGCCTATTGATTCAACACAACTGAAGCTGCTCACCCCTGTTGCCTTTTGTCATGCGCTTGGCCATGTTACCAGCAATGTCTCGTTTGCTGCAGTTGCTGTCTCATTCACTCACACAATTAAAGGTCACATTCCAGCTATCGCTGCAGAAAATTTTTGCGTTAGATAATTCGTATTCAAAGTCTAAGACTGTTCTTTTTGTCGTACAGCTCTGGAACCTTTCTTCAATGCTGCTGCATCTCAGTTCATTCTTGGACAACAAATACCTTTAGCACTATGGCTGTCACTTGCTCCAGTTGTCCTTGGTTAGCCCTGTTCTTCTCTGTCTTGTTCCACTCGGGTTGTAGCGATAAACACATTCTTATTATTTTGAAATGAGGAAACAGCCTGAAAATTAATCAGTTTCAGGCTGATAAATAAAAATTGTAGATTCTTACATTTTTTTTATATTTACTAGAGAAAGGGGAAAGTTGTGTGGTCGTCTTTTAGGTGGAAGAGGCAGGGGCCTCATATCCTCGTGTTTATTTAGTAATTGCGTAGTTCTTTTTCTTTGATGTTTTCTGCTCTCTGTTGCTCCATTTTTCTCTGTACCTTGATATTTTGTCGTCATTTCTTTTTCTTACTGCAACCCTGTTTTGAATAACTTCACCTTTTGAGCCGAGGGTAAGGTCTACTACGTACATCTTACCCTCCTCAAACCCCACTTATGGGATTACACTAAGTATATATGTTGTTGTTTGTTGTAAAGGGGTGAGTTTTTAAATACTTATATGCAAGAGGTAATTACCGTTTTGTGATATATCTTTCAACTGGATGTGCAGGTGTGTCGATGGCTTCATTGACTGAGCTATCTTTCAATTGGTTGGGTTTCACTAGTGCTATGATTTCTAACATCTCCTTCACATACAGGAGTATATACTCGAAGAAAGCTATGGTATGCTCTATGTAAAACTAATCCGAGTATTAAAACATTATCTAAGGCAATTTTCTGATGAATGCTTCTTTTGCAGACTGATATGGATAGTACTAACGTGTATGCCTACATATCCATCATTGCTCTTATCTTTTGCCTCCCGCCTGCCATTTTTGTGAGTCGGATAACATCAGCATGTCACTTTCTCTTTTTTTCTCGTAAATCTACTTTTTCCTCATTATATACTTTTCATTCTGACAACGTTACAGATTGAGGGACCTAAATTGCTCCAATATGGATTCAACGATGCCATTGCTAAAGTTGGTCTAACAAAATTCATAACGGATCTCTTTTGGGTGGGAATGTTTTATCACCTCTACAATCAGGTAAACCAGTTAGTAAATGCTGCTAGATTGACGAAAACCTGTGAAAAACCCTCAACCTCGTAAACATATTAATATGTGACCTACATGCATAATTGGCCTGCTTACAAGATTTTCCGCATTGCTAATCTTCTCTTTTATGTACTTTTCTTTACACAACCAGGTAGCCACAAACACCCTTGAGAGGGTGGCACCTCTTACACACGCAGTTGGAAATGTGTTGAAACGTGTGTTCGTGATTGGATTCTCTATTGTTATCTTCGGTAAATATCCATCTTTGCTAAGTTATATATGCAGAATCCCATGTTACTGGTATTATGACAAGAAAACTTAAACGTATATGTATGTTGCAGGTAATAAAATTTCAACACAAACCGGTATTGGAACCTGCATTGCAATTGCTGGAGTTGCAATCTACTCTTTCATTAAGGCCAAGATGGAAGAAGAGAAAAGGGTGAGTCCAAAGCGAAATACTAGAAAATTTTTGTTCCAAATTTATCAAAATGAATATACCAAGGAAAGCATATGCTGTTGGTTAAACACTTTAGGATCGTTTGATAGTTGGTTAGAGTTATGCAGTTACCAAACATCATATAAGTTTATAAATGAAAACTTACCTCCTAACCAGTTATCAAACGTGGTACTACCTATGCAGAACTTAATACGTGCATAACTCACCTCTAAACCAGCTATCAAGTGACCCCTTGTGACTAGTGGTTTATCTTGCCAAATGCCAAGCTTATTTACCATTATATGATAGTGATCGTTCATGTATCCGTCTCATGTATCTTTACCACTCGTGTGAAAACTCTATTAGAACTCTGGACTTCACTCATCTACCACTCGACCTTTGCCACAAAGATTGTTTCCTTGATTCTATTCTTGATTACCACATGCATTGATTTAACTATATCGAGTTACTAATATCTACTAAAACTGAAATGATTTTCTTCTCGTCGATGTTCATCTTATGATCTTATTCTTCTGCAGCAAAAGAAAGCCGCCTGAAAATGAAGGAACGCGGTATCAGGAAGAAGGTTGTGATGGACTCTGTGTTGATTTTTCACTATTTTCTCCTGTCCAAATAAAAGATGAAGAAGGGAAACCTCTGCTTTTCTTGGAGTTCTGTAGTTTAGTTTGGAGTCAATTGTTTTGATTCAAAGGTCAATTGCCTGCTAATTTCTGTATACTTGTGATTATTGTAATAATAATAATAATAATGTACCAACTTCTATAAATATTTCATTCCCTTACATCTTGAATTCATTAAAGACTGAAGATTTTCATATATTGTTAATACAACATGTGAATTTTCATGTGCATAGCGATAGAAAAACTTATTTGCATCTGATGTTTACACTGATCTAATAAGTACTTGTTCATGAATGGTTCTAGAAATTCTTCTAGATACTTCTACAAAGAAAATTCTAGTGATCTTTATCTTCTACCCTAGAATATCCAGATATTTCTTGAAGATAACTATTCTAGATTTTACACTAGACTATTCTAGAAACTATACTATAATAATCTATAATATTTCAAAAATCAACTTTATCATTTTTCACAACTATCAATGTAATTATAAATATTTGAAGATGTAGTAGAAGTGGGAATCGAAAATGGAATATATGGAGAAGTACTACTCTTTTCCCTTGTAATGTCACTTGTTGTCGGTGCGGGATAGGGCGTGTTGAAAATTTTAGAGTTACTTAAGTCCAAACTCACTTTGCATTCTCCCTGTCCCGCCCTTTTGTCATCCCTACTTGTTGATTTAATCTTGAACTTATTTTTTCGAGCCCCGCCGATGGGTAGGTTACGAAGGAGGCCACCTTGAGTCTTTTACAACCTTTACAAAAATAGCGAGGTTGTGACATGTTGTAATTGTTGTAGTAACAAAATTTGGTATTTGTTGATTCACATCTTGGACACTTTAAGGGTTTTGTTGGTTTAGTAGTTTTCATATCAAGAATATATATATATATATATATATATATATATATATAGTAGTAGTAGAAAGTAAAGTAAGTTATTTAGTTACGTTA